ACCATTTTTATTATAAAATAACTTCTTGACTGCTTCTCTGATTCTCTAAGTTATCATTGGACCTAGAAACCCTACTCGCTACATTAATCTTGGATGAGTGAATGGTAATTCCAAGTTTAAATGCCTTCCTTTCAGCCACAGAGGGTTATCTGGATTCATTTACAATAGCACTACCTCCCCATAACCCCACCTCCACCTGCCAAGGCACCCTCCACCCTTTACTCCCTTGCTAGATTCCCTGGAAGTCTAATCTGTATGAGCTGCATCACTGGCTCCCTTGTCTTCTGGTATCTCCTCGGATGCAGCCAATGGGAGGTGCTGGTAGGGGAGTAAAGGGCAAGTAAAAGGGGCAGGACTTCCTGGCTCCCTTCCCCCTGGAGCATTGCAGTTGGTCATGTTCCTCTAGCAGAGCTCAGGTTACAGCTCCAGCCAGACATCCTCCTCGAGAATGGTAACTACTTTTTTCTAACTTCAATAACCCCTGTATTAAAAACAATTCTGAATTAAATATACGTAAGGCCTCTTTGAGGTTAGTGTTACATTAAAGTACTTACATGCTTAGATTATATTTTCTGTTTTAACATTAAAATATTTTAATGAGAAATCAATGAGGAAATTACTATTGAATTCAATTCTTGAATTGACCCATGTCAAAAAGAAACAACAACAAAAATTCCAACAAAAAGTTGATCATAAACAGACTAGAAGATTTGGAATATCTCCTCCCTTAGACTGGAAGATATGAAATATTCCCTCTGTGAGACAACAGACCTTAAATATCTTACCAGGTAACCCATGACTCTTAATTCATCTGAATTCACCAAACATTTATGAAGTACTATCTGCTGAGCACACTATGAAACCACTCACTTACCTCCCCTCCACTAGGTTGTAGACCCATCATGGTACAGGATGGGCTTATTTGCCTTTGCTCCCCCTTCATTATGTCTGTGCCTGGCACTTGGTAGATATTTAATGTTTGAATAGACAAAGGAATGGATGAGAGAATGGCAAGGCTTATATACTTAAGAGAAGAAAATGCACAGGACAGCCAAAGGCCAGAAATGGGATTATGAAACTTATCGTCCTATCCTAGAGTGAAAAAAAAAGTATACGAAACAAACAAACAAATGCTTGTCCTTCCAGAAGACAGTGACTAGTTCTCTCCGAGCCTTTGAAGTGAATGAAATGATGAAAGGTTACACATCAACACCCCCTTGACACACAAAGGTCTCACTTCTGTCAACAAGTCTTCAGTCCAGTATAACTATACATACACACATATATGTATATTTGGCTCTCTGCCTAGTGAATTCCCCAAGTTCAGCTGGCCAACTTGAAGCCTCATCATAGCATTTAAAATGAATCTCTTTGCTTAAGCCCACAGAACTAGACCAACCCCAACCGCCCAGTGACCTCTGGTTCTCTTTCAAGTAAATAGATGGCATTACTGGGGACAAAGAACACTGGGCTTTCCTGCGGGAATTTCACAGGAGAATCATTGTACCACACAGGAGGCTGCTGCTGTCTTGGCACAAAAGATCCTCTCACCTTTGAGAAGAATCCTTCATCAGTGTCAAAGTGTCAAGAAGTCATTTCTATACCACAGCCTAGGAACTAGAAGGTGACAATGAGGAAGAGGCCAGATGGTACAGAGGACTCAAACTGTGAACAGTTCTGCTTCTAAAGGGAGCTCTGGAATGGGCCAGAGGTGACCTGAGTTTCCATCCTCCCTTGGTCCCTCCCTCCCTAGGTTACCTTGGGCAAGCCACTCAGGTTTCTGGGGTTGTGTCTCCTGCTCCGTTAATGGGAGGGTTGGGCCAAATGTGCCCAGCAGACTCTTCCCAGACCTACCATTCTAAGATCACACGTTTCAAAGAAAGCCTGGCAACAAAGCACTACTAATAAGTTCTACTCCTAATCTTTCCCTGAACTCTCAGCGTTTTCACATACTTTTAAAAAAGAGAATTAAAGGTAACACAGGTCTACAATTCAGGTTAATTTCCACCTTCTTCCCCATCACATGTATGTGAGCTCCCTAACTCATAGCTTGGTTCCAAAACTCCAGCTGGATGTAATAGAAGAGTATGATTTAGCTTGAACACTTAGTTTATCTAGTGACTTGTAGAAAGTCACTTTGTACCAGACTAAGGGTGTCACGGCTACCTAAAAAATAACCAAAACCTGAATTTAGGAGAAGAAAAGAATGCATGAAGCTCCTTAGGTGGTTTCAAGATTTTTAGGTGATCCTGAAATAATTTGTGTGATTTTAAGTTCTACCAGCCTCTGTTCTGTGGACTTTCTTATTTTCCTTCTTTCCTCCAAAGCTCATCTAAGTGTAGGATGAAGAAAGTCATGATGAAAAAATGGCAATTTTCCCTGCCAAGAATTTAATGTAATAATAATAGAAATAAGTAATGATAATGATGATGATGATTATATCTGACATTTATGTAGTACATAGTGTGAACTACACATGATTCTAAGTGCTTTAAATATATTAATTTATTCTTTAGTACAAATAATAGAGACCATTATTACCCCTGCTGGCAGAAAAGGAAGCTGAGGATCCAAAAGTTTCAGTAATTTTTTCAAGGTCGCTTAGCCAAAAAGTGGCAGAGCTGGGATTCACCCAGGCAATTTGCTTCCAGAATCAAGGCTTTCAACCCATTACATTGAATGACTTCTCCTCAAATATGAGTCTATTTCAAAGTAATCTGAAAGGAATGATTTAAATAGTTATAAAAATAAAAAAATGAGTGTGAATGTTTATCTCTAAGGTCCATTTAATCTGTATACTATAACAAGGAAGCAAAAGTAAATATCTTGTCAAAAGAAATTGGTTCATAGAGCATAGCATTGATTTTTTTTTTACCCTAAGAATTCAGCACAGATCAGCAAGGTGCCATGCCACAGAATGTGCATTCTCTGGGCTCTTTACCCAAACTAGAGGGCCATACCAAGTTGCTTTAAGTCACCATGGTTACCAGAGTCCATGATGATGCCCCCATACAAACAGACAGGAGGAAGGCTGTCATTACACTCCTGTTTGTGGTACAAAGTGGGCATTTGAGGAGAATCTGCCCTGTGGGAGATATTTTACTTTAAAAGTAACAGCACTCTTGCTTTTGTCAGGACCTTCTGTTCTCAGATCTTCTTAATACAGTTATTTCTTTCTCCCTGGAAGAGGTTTAGGAGGGATCATATCTTCTGCTCGCCCTCACAACTGTATATTGTAAAAGCTATTGTGTGTATATATGTGTTTGCATATTTATGTGTGCATGTGCCCACATTTATACACACACATATGTGCATGTGTATATATACACACATGCAGTATGTGCACATGTATGTACACATAATGGGCACATTCACACAAATCTAATATATATACATGTATTAGACTTCCCAACTTCTCACCATGACACTCTCAGCTCATGATTCTGACATATGACCTGTCCATCTGGAAGCAGATTCAACCAAGAAAGGACACCAAGAGGCATCTCCCCTTCCCTGCCTCTAATGACACAAGGGCCAAACTCAGATGGGATCTGATTCATTAAGGTTCCCACCGGCAAGAAAAAGTCTCTGCTTGCTTGCTCCTCCCCTCCCCTATGCTATGTGAATAGGGCCAGGCTGGTCCCCTCGGCCTGTTTGAAAGGGATGTGGGATATAGAAAGAGAACCATCAATTTTTTCAAAAGTTATAGCATTAATTTTTAGCACTATGTTTGAAACTATCATCAAATTGAGATTCCAGCCTCAGAGAAGTTGGCAAAATCTCTTCTGCAAGAGAAAACTGCCTGCCAGATTTGATCTAGGTTCTGGAGATTGAATGAGAAGGTGTTTCAGTGTCTCTTTCTACTCTAAATCTGTAAGGTAACAGATCCAGTCAAGGTCATGAATGGAAATAACAAAGAGCAGGAGAGTCAGCCTGCAGGAAATACAGAGACAAAGTATAGGTGTCCACGGTGTGGTAGAATGAGCCCTGGGTGGGGAAGAGGAGGCTCTGCCCCTCTCGGGAGTGAGTGACCCAGACAGGACTTTCCCTAGATGTCCAGTCCCTCCACACGGAGAATGAGGGAGGGGATGGGTTCGATTACTGCCGCCAGCCTGGGCTTCTGAGTTGGGGCGAGCCTGGGTGCTGCTGGCTCCAACCTCTGCAGCCCCCATCTCACATCCGAGGAAATCTACTCATGCTGCTTCCACGGCTCCGAAGCCTACATTACAGAAATAAACACCCTGATATATGCATCTGTAGAGGGAAAATGCAAGGTGATCCTTTTCTCTTGTGTTTGCTCAAATCAGCCTTACCTATCACTACAGAAGAAGCATCGGGGAAGAAAGCTTGGGTGAGAACTTTGGGCTGGGGAGAAGGTTTATTTTCATAGGGCTTAATTTCTTTCATATACTATGACCCTGGTTTACTTTTTCGTCCAAAAGATGTTCAGTTCATATAAAAACAAGCAAACAAAGGAAAACTCAGTACTAACAACAGAAAACTTTAATGAAGTTCACCTAAGCTATTCTTCCTTAAAGATCAGCCCGCATGTGGCAATTTGGGTCCAAGACTCTGTAAAAGAAAGTCGGGTTTTTTTTTGTTTGCTTGTTTGTTATTGTTTCTTTGTTTCTTTATTGTTCAGGAGGAAAAATAGAAGAAAGAAAAAAAAGAGGAAAAAATTCTCCCCCGGAAGTAGTTTGCGAACATGAATGTCAGAAAATTATGTCTAGCATCAGGCTGCACAATGCCCAAGAGGAAAAGTAATTAAGAGAGCCTGGGGGTGGCGGGTCAGGGGGGAAGTGGATCAAATAAATGATCGAGGAAATTACTTCTGAGTTAGAGTCCAAGGAAATGACCTGGTTGTGTAATGGCTGGCAAAGGATTTGACATCCAGCTTCTAAATATCTGAAAAGAATAAGTATCCAACACTGAAAAATTAATAGGTGATAAAGGAAAAAAACATTACCATTCTGGATAAACCTACTTTCAGTGAAACTTACTTCATTCCATTCCCAGCCTTTGTAAAGACGCGAACCAACTATAGACTAATTCGGTCTGGCACCAATACTGGAGCTGAAGGGGTGAAGCGAGGGAGACGCAGTGAGAGGGGCACAGAGACCAGAGTCTTCTGTTGCACCCAAGGACCTGACAACAGCAGACAATAAATAAAAAAAGGCCATCTCCCCCAACTTGCCCTTTAATGGTTTAATAAGTAAACCAAGTCACCAGGAAGACATCTTTACCACATAAGCTGGTGATTAATGATAAGCCAGGCACCATTTTGTTGATATACCAATAACACAGACACAGGAACCACTAACCATCACAACACCTCCTCTTTTCAGGGCCGTGAAAAGCAGCACAAGATAAGGTCCTGAGACAAAAGTGGCATCCTATGCTGAAAATCCAGCGAATTCATATTGGACAATAAGTCTCCCAAGGAAGACACTACCTACCTTCCCCCAGCCTGCCCCACCTTCCCCCTGCCTCCCTCCACACACACACACACACACACACGCATGCACACACACGGGAACCACTGCTACGCTATTTAGTTTTAGGCATCTCCTCTAGACAATGGTTCTTTAACATGTCCATTGTATGATCACTGAAAGCTCTGGAAACCTGCTACACCTACGTCTTTAAGCTTTATTTACCAATGTAGCCTATGAGATAGATCCTTTTACCACCAGAACTCATCCATTTGAATTTCTTAACGGATGGCCATTTGAGACTAGTGAAAAGTCTTACAGGTATAACAGAGTTTAGTGAAAACACTGTCAAAGATACAAATAAACTATCATAAGAATAAATGAATAAAAAGTCAGAATTCAGTCCAACCGACCTGCAGTTATGCCCTGCACACCTTCCATGCACTGAGTACAAACACACAGGCCCATCAGCTTGCAAAAAGAAAGTATTTAGGTCCTAGGAATTAACTCTAGTTAATCCGTATTTGTCTAAATTTATTTAAAAAAAATAACGCCAGTAATTTTTGTCTAACTATAGGTCCATCCTTAAAATGTATATGATTTTGCACTGGAATTTTAAAACAGAGCTTAACAGAACTAATTTACATTTATATTACACTGAGACTGTCTCATTGCTAGAATGTCACATTGCATCTTTAAAATACATACATATTATAAATTCCTTGCTCCTATGTGGAGCTACGAGAAAAGACATGTTGGATAACATAATTTATAGAAAAGGAGCTCTTTAAAGTTCAAAATATGCAGCAAATTCTTGGAATTCTAAAGACTTCCACCTAAATATTTACCCAGTTATAATTTGCTCAGTAGCGCAAAATGAATACCTCGTGTACAAGTAGAACTTAGTTCATAAAATTGTAGGTGTGTTGAGAGAAAAGCCACCTTCCAGCCCCCAAATCTAACATGATCATTCCTTGGATTTAAGAATAAGTTAGAATAAAGTTCTAACACAGGCATTTGCTGTGAACTCTTTGCCTCATGTCTGAGGAGCTGAGGAAATGTTCCCACATGTTGGCAATACTGGTATCAACACCGTTTCCAGGAAGGAAATGAACAAAGATGTGGCAGCCACACTCTCTACTGAGGACAAGAGCTGCACAGAGTCCCTGGGAGCAGCTGATTTACATCAATGTGTTGAACGTGCCTCACGAGCATCACCAGGTCTCAGACCACAAATCGCAGCAGTTCTGGGAGAAGCGTGGGGTGATCACCAGGCCCCACCGGGAACTCAGGAATCCTGCCAAAAGCCATCAGAAGTACCCTGCTCTGGTGGCTGATGGAAGACGTGGCTTCTCCTGCCTCCACCTCTGAGACGACCAACCCCTTTTCAAAGCACCATTCCATGTGCTCCTCACAACAAATGAACTAGGCAGGTAGTTTTTCCCTTTCAGTGGAGACTCGGGGAGCTGTTGCTCCTTTCAGAGGCCACATAAATGGTAAGTGACTGAGTCAAATGCCACAAAAGCCTCCTCACTCCTCGTCCTGTGGTCCTTCTACTAAGCCATAGTGCCTCTAGCAAAACTTATGCTTTATCATATTAGATTTGAGTGGCTACAACAGTGGTATTTCCTACCACCACCTGCCACAGGAGACGGAGATGGAAATAACTTACAGAGATTTACATGGGAACACGGACAAGTATCAACGATAGACCGATTATGGGGGTGGGTGTCAAAGATGACTCTGAGTCTTATCTTCACAGCAGTAAAAACGGGGCTGTCATTTGCAAAGGTGGGGAACCCTGTCTTTATTGTTCCCACATTTTTCAGGCTTGCCAGGATAATCCACATGTCATGCAAAAGTATTCTTTTCAGTAAACATAGTTTATCAAATATAAGACTTTTCCTAAAGATAGATCCACAAATTTGAAACAAAAAAGAGTCTGATGATAACAATAGAACCTCTTTTGCAATGTCAGGGGAGCGCTTTCCGCACGTGAGGCAGACACACAAGGAGAGATCACGGTCGGGCCAGGCCCACATATGTCTCACTATGAACACAAAGCCCCCACAGGTCAAAAACGGAATCCACATGATCCTCTCTGTGCCTCCCCTCCTTCTCTCCTCCACCACTCACAAACTGACGGTGGCCTACTGTCTGCGGAGACACACTCTTTGGAAATTTCTTGTGACCGTGTGCTCTGCTGGCACGTCGCGTGCTGCATGCACTCCCCAGAGTCATGTATGCTTTGTTCTGTTTTGTTGTCATGTTATAAAACAGTGGGATTTCCCTCCAGTTTTACTGAGGCACGCTTGACAAATAAAATTTGTATGTATTTAAATGCACAACATGCAAAAGTACATTCAGAGCCCGCCTGCCTGAATGACTGACTACAGGGGCCTCACAAAACAGGGTGGATGATGGACATGACCTGGATGAGACAAGCGGCAGGCCTGGGTATCTAGAGGAAATAAAACCTTTCAGTGGCTACTGAGATCAGAGTCAACACCAAAGCATGGGCGTATGGAGTTGACTGGGGCCTCTGTAGGTCAACTACAGAGGCCTCTGTAGGTCAACTACATGTCCTTAAAAATACTCAGGCTTGTTTCAGGCACAAAATGCTGCCCTGGGATATAACACATTGAGTTTTCATCGGTCACCATGGGTGTGTCACCAGAGGCTTTGACTACAAATACCTTGAGCACTAACCACGGCCAGAACTCAGTGCAAGTTTGGGGACCTATAAACCAAGAGTCTGACCCTCATGGAACTATAATCTACCAGGGGGACAGATATGGGAAGAACAAAAAGCAATATAGACAGAATATAGCTACTGCTAAGAAGAGAGAGAAGCAATTTTTGTGAAACACTGAGGAATGATATATTTTCCTTTACTGGGGAGACAGGGCATGTATTGTAAAGACAATGACACTTGAGGTGGTGGTGGCTGAGAAATAAATACCATTTCGACAAGTAGGAAAAGCCTGTCCAGCCTAAGACAATGCCATGTCAAAAGCATCAAGAAGCAAAACTGCATTTAGATTTTGGGAAACAGCTGGCAGACTGGAGTGAACGCAGTCCGGTTGCCCGGGGTGGGTAAGGTCAGGATGAAGCAGGGAGGGCAGAGTACTGGGCTAGGGAGACTACAGTGTAATGCGTGGGCTCTGGGAAGTCGTGAATGGCTCTGGAGCAGACGAGATACTGGATGATGAGAACACTGCAAATATTGGGTTACCGTGAATTTTTAGTCGAAGCCCACATGCTCTCCAGTTGAATTGTGATATTTGTGATTTCGCTACAAGCGATGCTTACTTATCAAGGAGGCATTTAAAATCCCAAATCTTCTTTTATCATTTTCACTTACCATACAAGGCTCTATAGAGTTCTATGACCATATTTTCAAGAGATAAAAAATGTATCTATATCCAAGTTTCTAAAAGAAAAGACTTGGCTTATAGGTTTTTGGGGAAAGAATAATTTCAATACCTAAATTGTAATTGTACATGCTATAGGGTTTTCACCCCTAAAACTTTCTTGGGTGGAGGGCTGAGTTGAGTCTTGAGTTCTAACCAGGTTTTTAGTGACTAAGTCTATATGGACATTATGAATAGAAGTAAATAAATGTTTTGTATGTGTTTTGCATTAAATAAATGTTGTTTTAAGTTATTTTTCACTTTACAACTCCCCAGAGAACACAGTAACAAACGTACAGAGCTTTTTAAGGACATAGTCAGTGAAACTTGTAGCAGAAGTGTTACTTGACTTCACAAAAACAGGTGCGAGGCTAGGATGAAACATGAAAGAATTGAGCTTCCTTACTCTCTTTTATCTCTTTTAGTAAAATAAATATCTGACTTGAAATTTATACTTCAAAAATGGATTAGAATAATCACTCGTATCCCCTGCTTTTTCTGTCCATCGTGATTTATTTGTTCACCATATTAGGCACACCACAGAGCCAGAAGAGGTCCCTCTGTGGCTCTGGAGAAGTATAAGCAATTTCATTACCACATATTAAGGAGCTGGGTCCATACAAAAACGTTCCATTCTCTTTCATGGACGGCACTAAAGCTTTATGGAAAGAATACTTTTGCTGTTTCCTTTGCTATGTGAAGTTAAGTAGATTGATAAATGCTCCCTGCTTCAGGACTTTTACAAAAGGGCACAGAAAACTTGTGATTTTTATTTCAGTCTCAGCATCCTTTTCAAAAAGCAAAGGATGCTCACAGAGGAATACTGTTAGTTACAGCTATTCAAGTGTAGGTTGCCCGAGCAGGAAACACTCCTGTTTTGTGTGCAGGGATGATAAGAGAAGAAAGACATGGCTTAGGCAGGGGTGTCAAACTCATTTTCACCAGGGGCCACATCAGCCTCATGGTTGAAACAAGGTAGATGGCCAGATTCAGGCCTCGGATCTTGTGTTTGCCACCTGTGGTAGAAGGTGATGAGCTGAGGTCCTGGTGATAATTATTAGCATGACTCGGGGAAGTCGGGTATCTGGGTAAACTTCACCCTCCTCAAGTGTGGCAGAAACAATGGCCTTGGATAGAGAAGAGCTCCAGGAAGGTATCTAACTCTCAAAACAGATTCTCTTTTTGTAATACAATAAAGAGAATGAAAAATGCTTGAAGATATGTTAATAGGCAATGGGCCCTCACTTTAAGCTAGCACTCCTCAATGTGCTCTCATTATTGCTTGAAAAATTCTT